TAGCCAGGTAGGGGAAGGGGGGTGCTCGACCTCCCCCTCCCCCATAACTTTCAAATTTTCCTTATATATATATAAAATAGTACCCTGAAATGCCAGTTTAATAGGGTCGAGCCCCCCCTAAATTTCATTCTGGCTACGCCGATGTCTGTACCTATATCTATTAAATTTTGTTTGGATCAATGATGGGTGTTTGGAGGAGATACTCTTGTTTTTGAATGCGTCACCATGTGATATCACAAATAGTTATGAGAAAAATAACTTATTCATTCCGATATAATTAATTTGTATTTTAAAAAGGTTTTCCTTATCCAAAACTATTCAATTGTATAAAATGCCAAATCTGGGGAAAATGTACCAAGCAGAAAATAAATTGCCAAATTAATCACCAGTGGCAACTGTGAATTAATCCGCTGTTTCGAAGTTTGCAAGTTTTTGCAAATTTTGCGTTCTCGTACTTCTGTTGATATTTCGTCTCTTTAAGAGCGAATGCTGCTATATTCTCAGAACTTTTGCTGCTGGAGAATTTTGTCCTCTAAATACGAGTACACACCTGATGACTTACGCTACTTTCGAAATAAACTTCTGATTTGTATACATATATCATTATAAGAAAAAATCTAAGTTAACGAATTTTATTGCATATATTTAATACATATGTATGTACATATCAAACGTTCAATAATGTAGGGAATTAATTCAAAAATTTACGTTTTTGGAGATTTCATCATTCAATTATAAAGCTTGACAAGTAGAATGACTATATTTATCAAACCGATAATTAAACTCACAAAAAATGGCGAAGATATGCGTCTTTTCATCTTTTTTTTGTATACCAACTGCATGAATTAATGATACTTTCATTGTGTTTTCGAACAAATTACAATTTTTAAATAGCGTCACCCGGTTAAATTAATGTCGTACGTTGCCTTTGACGACTTTTGGGAAATCCCGATTGATGTTTGGAATTCAATTTCCCAAAAATGCGACGATGGATTTACTCCAAAGTCTCAGAGAATGTTACGAATTTCTTAACCGATTTTGTTTTTATTGTTTATTATTAATTATTTACAATATGGTTGTAAATATGGTACATTTGGCAAACATTTTATTGGGAAGTCGCGATTGAACGATATATTCTCCATAACGTCTCAGAGAATGTTACTAGTTTACTAATTTCTTAAGTTTCTTTTGTTTTTATTGATTGTTATTAATTATTTTTAAGTTAAACTAAATATGTAGTTAAAATAATTCGGATTTATTGGACATATGTAGGTACATATGTATGTATGTGCCCATAGTTTTGAAAATGGTCTAAGTAATTTCATGACTCTAGCAAATATAGCAAATATTTTGTAAGACGGTTGAAAGACAGTATACGAGATAGTTAATTTATTATTTTTATTATGGCACGAAAGTCTTACAAAAAAACTCCCTTGCCAACTTTCATGGTGAAAAGTTTTCACGATATTTGCAGGATTGACAATTGCTTTACGAAAGGCTTCTGTCCTGCGAGGCACTGTGGTGAGTTGAGAGACAAATGCCAGAACTCCACTTTAAATGGTGCGTTACTGAATGCATTGTGATTAGTTCTGTAGTCATAAACTAATAAACAAAGCTGTTCACCTTTGGGGTGGCAGATATTTGCGTACCTGTGATTTTGTCACGGTTACTCAAAAGTCACGGGTAACTGCTGTGACAACTTCCAAAAAGTCACCGTGACAAACTGTGACAAAGGAACAGTCGCAATGATGTTTTTGTATAGGATTGCGTCTTCCACAATAGGTGCGTTCGTTTAAAATCTCCAGTAAAAACCAACCAACTGCCAAATTCCGGCGAAATGTCATCTGTTCTCTCACAAGAAAAAAATATCCCAAATAGTACGCGAACAGAACATTTCCAGAAACTTGCAAGTTAAACGAACAGCTGATATAATTTTTGTTTACATTCAAAAGTGTAAATTTTAAAACGTACGAAAAGTCATCACAAAGTGTTATACTGACACAGTTTATTGATTAAACAAATAACTACTTATTTCTTACAAGTTTAATTAGTCACATTTTGTAATTTTTAACTTCCAAACCATCAAATTCAATTTTGTGATTTGCGTAAATGCCAACCAGCTGTTTTTGATCAGCTGTTTTCCTGGTGGCAAAAATTTTTCCAGCAGAAACCAGCAGCTTCCCCTCAAAATTAAATGTCACTTTGCTCTCTCAATTTCCCCTACTTTGCAAGTTTTTTGCGTGAGCGAACGCAAAAACTTGTAAGTTTTGGTTAAACATGAACAATTAACAGCTACGCGAACGCAACTAATAACAGTAACAGTCACAGTCGGTGCTACGAAATGTGATTGTGATAAAAGTTGTGTTTTCGTATTCTCCATCAAAAAATATCCAGTAACTTGCCAGTAACCAATTTCGGAGAGTAAGCCAATATTTACTCCCAATGAGTGAAATATGCAAGAAAGTACGAAAACGCAAAACCAGCAAGAAGTTGCTAGTTTTATGAACAGCTGATTAATTTGTTATTTTCCAATGCAATTTTCTTAGAAAACTAGTATTTTCCATCTTATTATAAATTTAAATAGGTTTATATTGTCAATTGCAACTCTAAAGGCACCACAAACAATTATTTTGTTAATGTGAATAACATTAAGCATCATGCCATCAGCTCTTTTTCTTACTAGCAAATAGTTGCTAGTAAAAATTTATCCAGAAAAATCCAGTAAAACTTGCAAGTTCAGCTGTCATTTTTGCTCTCTCAATTTCCCATCTTTTGCTAGTTTCTTGCAAGTTTTTGCGTACGAAAACGACATCCAGTAAAAAACCAGTAAAATTAGTACTGGACTTACTGGATAGTGCATATGCGAACAGGGCTAAAGTAGAAGTCGCAATTACATAACGAGAAACTGAGACCAGTGATGTTAACCTTCTCGTATATGTAAGTAAATGATTCTTGAATCACTTACAGGGCTCTTACGCGATATGTATTTGCACATGTAAATGCTACTTTTTTGCATGTACTCGTTTGTATCATATATTAGAACGCATCAGAAAAGTAGCATTTACATATGGAAATACATATCGTGTAACTGGGCTCTAAGACAACTTGAATAATTATGGGCACATATGTAAGTACATACACTTTATACATAAAAGGGCCGTGTGTGTCTGTCGGTATGTAGTTTAGAAACTCGACAACTACTGAACGGATTTAGTTAAAACTCATAGCATGTGAGTTTAATGCCGCTTATTGTGCATATGGAAAATTTCCCGGAGTCGAGATACCTTTAAATACTCTATTTGAAGTGCGATTTGATTAAAATTAAGAACATATACATTTAACCATGTAAATAGAAATACTCTTACCTAAATTGGTCCTATAGACGTCACTAGAGTCAAGATGTCTCTAAAACCATATTTATTCGATAAGTTCTACTGATGGAAGTACATTTCGCTAGCTTAGAGTGAAAAGTTGCTAAGTCAACTTTTTACAAAAACTCATATTTTGATATAGGAAGCAGGGGATATTACAAATTCATCGTTTCGAAAAGGATTAAGATACTTTATTTTTATTTTTTATCGTTAATATTCAATGAAAGGCAAATTTGTTAAGTCCAAAAGAGGCACCGAAAATCTGACAAAACCAAAGTGATACGAAATCCTTTAATAAAGATCGAATCCTTCTTCGTTTGGAGTTTTTCTTTGCTTTAAACACGCAAAATTTTGTATTAAAAGATTCGCGAAATACTTGAGAGAAAATGAGTATAAAAAGTGTTTTTCCTCTCCTGCAAAATTAAAAAATTTGACCTAGTAATTTTGCACTCGAAGCTATCGATATGCACTTATGTATACAATTTTTAGATACTGTTGATACGGATTCATAACTAGCTATTATTTGAAAGACCCTTGGGTTTTGTTCGCCGGCACTGTCAGTGTTTTTTTGTATTAAAAAAACTTTATTCTAGTACTTGGCGCACTTTATATGCTATTTTTTATCCGATTTTAAAAATCTAATATGATTTTTTTATGAAGATTTATAGACCTTTAAAATGATGATAAAATAAACTGTAGGCTTCACGGACTATAAGAAAGCTATTTTGATGTTGTATGTGACCCCAACTTCAACTTGTTATGTGTTACGTTTCGGACGTATTCCGTTTTGGCTTGCAGCACTGTGTTATTATTCCTCGATAATATTTATTAAGGAGACGGTGCACTCCTGCATAGCTCGCATTTGAAGCATGGACTACCGGGTTGCCAACCAATCGATTTAATAGTTTACGAAATATCCATAATGTCAATTTACCTTATAGCCATGGGCCTTATGTCACCCCACCAATGTACAAATTATGCAGGTCATATCTATAGCACGCCATTTCAAAGTGATATTGTGTGCCACTTATGTTTATTTATTTATTTTTAAGAATTTTCAATTAAAATACAGTTCTTTCTCTAACAAACCCCATATAAACCCAAGTTTAACAATTTGTAGAAAACTTAAAAAAAGTGCAACAAATTTTCACCTAAGTTTCAAACTTTTTTCTCGGAAGTGTTAGAATTTGTTCGAGTGCACAGTTTTTTAGCCACTGCAATTTTAGTCTGATAGCGGGAAAATTCCAAGTGGCTACGAATTACCGTTAATTTTTTAGAATTGTTTTTGTCGCATTGGCTTCCATATAGATAATGAATAAACTCAATTTATTTGTATATGGAAGAAAACCGCAACACCTTTGGCGAAAAAAATTCTAAAAAATCAACGGTAACTTTCAGTCACTTGAAACTTGCACATTATCAGATTAAAATTGATTGGGCTATATAAGTGTGTATTCAGAAAAATTCAAACACTTCCGAGAAAAAAGTTTGAAATATAGGTGAAAATTTGTTGCACTTTTTTGAAGTTTTCTATAAATTGTTAAACTTGGGTTTATATGGGGTTTGTTAGAGAAAGAACTGTATTTTAATTGAAAATTATCAAAAATAAACAATTAAACATAAGTTGCACACAATATCACTTCGAAATGGCGTGCTATAAATATGACCGATACTGTATAATTAGTATAGATAAATCTCATTTTGTATACATGTATAAGTAAGTATATATAATTTTATGTAAACACATGCATACGTTGTATATATGTATGTATGTATATAACTTATGGTGTTAGATTTTTCATATGCCACTTTTATGCGCCTACAAACCCTGCAAACCTTGAACTCTTTACCTAGCGCCCTATTCACTTGTTTGTTATTAAAATAGATACTTGTATGTCTACGCACGATTATATAGGCGCCAACTCCTTTGCGCTTGTTCTTTGCAGTTTCTGTTTTGGCTTGTGTTGCCAATTTGTTTTATTCTCCTTTCGTTTCATGTGTTTTTGTCTTTAAAACCAACCTCCACCTCCCAGCTTTGAGCTAAGCCCACCAATACCCTTGCCCAGCAAATTGCCAACCCGACCAGCCACAACGTTTGTTACGGCCGCTGCTTGAGCGGCGGCAATCTTCGGTTTTGGTATGCCGCGATTTGCGCCGCCACCGCTGCCACTGCCGCCAACCTCGCCTTCGCCAGTGCCATCCTCGTCTCCGCCCTCGCCTTTCGTGGCATCCACGTTGCTGCAGTAAAAACAATAACAATTTCAAGCTATAACTATGGGGTTTTTCAATAAATTTCCTCCTTAATAACTTACTCGTCACACTCAGCGACATCAGGCATGGTGAGCGCGCACGTTGCTTCCTCAGTGGCCATGCGTTGGGCAACAGTTTGATATGCTTTGGAATTGAGCTTGTCCTCCAATACACCTTGTAGCTCAAAATCTGAATAGATTTTCTGTAAATAAAAACAAAATGAATGGATATTTGATTAGATATATTAAATACATGTAAGTTGTGCAGAGTCCGGCCAAGTTCTAAGAGGCGTAAAAAGTTTAAAAGACTCCATTAATACTCCAGTTAAAAAAGCGTCCGCTTATGGCTGGTTTCCTCAATTCGACCCAAACTTTGGACATATTCAGGGGAGAAGCTGCCGAGTGTTTGCACTTGCCGATAACGTTACACTAATGGTGAGGGGTAGATTTCTGGATCTCTTGTAAATATGATGTAATAAAAAATTTCTTTAAGCTTGTGGAGTGGACGGATAGCAGTAGTTTCGCCGTAGATAGAGTAATTATTGAAGTACTTGGGCTCTGCTGTAAAATCTGTCAAAGAAGTCTAGCATTGATTTAAAACAGATGTTGAATGCATCAGTTGTGCTGTTGTACTACTACCAGAGAGCCATGCGCATTTAAGCCTATAAGAAAAGGTAAAACTACTTAAGCCCCTGCCAGATAAAACTTTGTGGCTTTGAGCGACGCAAGGTATGCCACAATGAACGCCACAAGATCAATTTTGTACAGCTTGTTTACTGGTGAAAATTGCTGTGCGTCTTATAACTATATTTATATAAGCAATAGTTGTGTTTTCGTATTCTCCAGCAAAAAATATCCAGTAACTTGCCAGTAACCAAATTTCGGAGAGCAAGCCAATATTTACTCCCAATGAGGGAAATATGCAAGAAAGTACGAAAACGGAAAGCCAGCAGGAAGTTGCTAGTTTTATGAACAGCTGATTAATTTGTTATTTTCCGATGCAATTTTCTAAGAAAGCTAGTATTTCCCATCTTATTATATATTTAAACAGGTTTATTTTGTCAATTGCAACTCTAAAAGCACCACAAGAAATTCTTTTGTTAATGTTAATGCCATCAGCTTACTAGCAAATAGTTGCTAGTAAAAATTTATCCAGTAAAAATCCAGTAAAACTTGCAAGTTCAGCTGACATTTCTGCTCTCTCAATTTCCCCTCTTTTGCTAGTTTCTTGCAAGTTTTTGCGTACGAAAACGACATCCAGTAAAAAACCAGTAAAATTAGTACTGGATTTACTGGATAGTGCGTATGCGAACAGGGATAATGTAATTAAATGTTATGTTTCAGCATCAAAACTCGATATCGAAGGAAAAAAATTAAACCAGCTGATGGTCAACGCCCGCAAAAAGATGGAAGTTGATCCCCTTTTCGCTTCGCGCTGCAACTAAACGATTTATGTGGCATGCTTCGTGCATTTTCATACATTTCATCTTATCTGGCAAAGCGGACCTCTCACGCAAAGCGAAGCAAGGGGTTTTATATGGCATAGCCTTTAGGCAGAAAGAGCGTGTGCAACCAAGAATGATAGAATACAAGATTGCGCCGTCCTGGGCGTTGACATTTGTGTACCACAAGTAAACAAAGAATAGAGCGAAAAGAAGAACGAGTTAAAACTTCCAAAACAGTTCACTTTACAGCGAAAAACGTGTTTTAATTTAGCTAAACGCGAAAATATTGCATTTTTCACCTAATCTATTAGAGAATAGGTAACATTTTAGTGCACTCCATTGCTTTGCAATTGAGGCTGCTTCAGCAAACGTTTTAGTGCACTCCATTGCTTTGCAATTACGACTGCGGCAGCATCTCCGCGGGATTGATTAGTTAACTTGCTAATGGAGGCTGCTTGGAGCAGAAGCACACTCATTGTGAGGAAATGCTGTTAATGTAATAATAAAGAAACATTTCGGGAACGGCTTTGCCGTGCCCTATGTACACAAAATGCAGCGATTCGTCCCAGCGCTACACTTGCATCTACGCATCTTGCATCTTGACGGTTGTCGCAATTTAACACACAGCACTTCATTTTATTAGTTTTTACGCAGTCTTCAACTCAAAAATCACTCACAAATTGCAAATTAACACAATTTAAACTGATTTTTCACATATAATTAAATTTCTCTCTCGCTGATTTGTAAACAAAGGTTTGTTTACAAGTTACCACAACTGTCAAAATCGGCAAAACCAAAGTAGCGGTACCACTGACGGCGCCACCTCTGTTCGCTGCACCGTGGTGTGCAACGGGAATCTGTGGAGTACCTAACACCACGTCAACTTAACAGCTGCCTGCTGATATTAAAAGCAAAGCTTCTGCAGCAAAGGCAGCTTCTATACACAATTAACTACATATTAGAGACTTCGACTTCAGCTGTGGGGATACACAGGCAGAGTGATTCGAATGTGAGTAGGGTGCTAAACAGGTTCCTCCAAGCTAGTTTAGTGATAGAGGGGAGGTCTCGAACAGGTCCCGCCATAGACAAAATTTTCGCCGGAAAGTAGCTTGATTTTCAAGCCATGGCGGGGGCAGTTTTGCCACGAATGACGCTTCCACTCCTTTAAGTACTGGGTTTAGCCAAGGATATTGTGGCGTCGTTGAATTCGAGTATCCGATGCAAGACCGGAATCGGACAATCCCACACCTGCGACCGCCACGCTCAGACTCTCTGCCGGAGCAGTAGTACTCTTGCTCATCATTCTTCGTCGAGGAGGTATTGGGGAGGAAGTAGAGACTACGTGCCGCAAAATATGATTTCAACACGAGTGGGGGAGTTTTGCCACGAATGACCAGTGTGTCCAGATTGTATAAAAAGAACAGAGCCATTTCTGAAAAAAAATTCGCCAAAAATCACCCTTTTTTAATTCATGAAATCCGCTTAACAAAACTCTTATTTTAAAAATGAGATCATGTTACAACATAGTATTTAAAACCAAAAACGAATATAATACCTTCAGGGTAATAATAAATAGCACAAATCACTTATATACATGTAGAATTTAGGAGACGAGTCTTTTAATTTTACTAAATGTTTATTAAAATTTGTAATATAGTTGTACATTTATTAGAAATGAGTAATTTAGACTTTCAAATTAATCTCAAGTAGTTTTAATTACACGTGTAATTTTTAGTCATGTATTTGATGTGCCGCGCGTGGGCTTTTAACTTCAACTGTCCATTGTTCGCTGTAGCGTCATTGTGCTCGTCTCTTTCGTTCAATTGTCATTCGGCTATTCGTCAAATGAGAGTGCCAGTTTAGGGTTGCTTATTTAACCTGCATCCATCGTTTGTATTGTGGCGAATACTGCGGCAACGCGAAGCGAACAACGAGAAAACGGCAGAATGTTCGAGGATTGAGGTAGAATGTTCGACAGTGAGAAACGTTACGTGGATGAATACTGCGAACAGCGATAGAATGAGAGAATGAGCCATAAACTTGCCATGAGTGCGGGCGCAGGTATATAAAGTCGCAGCGAAGTAAGTTAGTTGAAAGTCAGCAAGAAACCAAATAAGTCAGTCAGGTGCGAGTTGTGAAACAGAGATAAATTGTGTTGGCAAGTTTTGTAAAGCGTTGTAATTACTTTAACGAGTATTGAAAAGTGTTGTTATTGGATTGTTGTAAATTGTTTGTCGTACAATAAAGTTATTTGTACTGAAATTTGGTTATCTTAAGCGTTTATTTAACAATCCAGCTATACGAATCGAAAGGATTTTGGTAAATCCGTCAAGTAGTCAAGGATAATCGTAACAGAATCAAATTGATGCAAATTTAGAAAACATTAAAATATTAAGAAAAATATTTAATGTTTTGAATTAGTTTTTGCGACAAATGCGTATAGACCTATCAAGCAGTTGGTCATTAATAAGAAATGAAAAAAGGTGACAAGTGTTTCTTAACACAAAATATTTTTATTGCTGATATTGAGAAGTTACAATAGATGCAGAATAAAACTCTCTGCTCAGTTCGCAATGCACCCGGAAACTGTTAAACAGTTTTCGGTAAAAACGAAAAATGTTCATTGAATTTTTCAACCACCAACAACATATATAAGCCAAGATAGATTTTCATAAGCCAATATAATTATGTTGGCTAAATCTTCCATACAAATAGCTTAAACTTCTGTCAATTAAAACACGCTTATTGTGTGTATGTATGTACCTATTAAACGTATTTTATAATTAATCGCGTGTGGTATACTTAATATAATATAAGTTATTAAATTAAAATCATTATAAAAATACATGCGTAAAAATTTTGATATTAAATCTTAATATATGTATGTATATTCGTGAAATAAATAATGAAAATCATTTAGTTTTGCAATCGCTGCTTACAAAATAAAATATTATATCATATTGGTTCAAAAAACTTTAAAAATCTTTCTTTATAAAAGTTAGTTTGTAGATTGCGATAGCTGAACAGCTATCGAACGCAAATTGCGATAGAAGAAGCAGTTTGGCTTTCGTTCACGCATTACAGAGTGCCTGAAATGCGAAAAGGGCAATTTTCAATGCGCTTGTTCGCATTGTAGGGTGCCAATATTCCCAATTTTCGCAAATTTGCTATCGCATCGCATTACAGAGTAACCCCCCAGTTTAGCGCGAAACTTCACTATTGGAAAACGACAGTCGAAAAGTTTTTACGAGTATATTAAAACTGTTTAATAGAAAACAACGGGACTTTCCTTTGTTTGTTCATAATTGTGATGCCATTAACAAAGTACAGCTAAATGGCTACTAACTCCGGGCAACCACCATATCTAACCTAACACGAATTAAGCCTAATATCGATTCTACAATGGGCGCGTTCATAAGACGTAGCTGTTTAGCTCAACAGCTAGGAAACTGCTGGCAACTGTTGGACCCAACAATTACGTCTTAGAAACGGCTTGATGAATATGCTGTCAAATAAACAGCTGATAAATGTAAACAAATGAAATTGCAATAAATAGAGATAATTGCGCCAATGCACAGTGGTCAATAAATGGAATTTAATGTTCATAATTCACTGGAGCCTTCATTTCTCAACCGATTTGATTAATTATTTTTTTAAATGAAAGCTAATAAAAAAAGTTTTTTTTTTGTTTTCAGTTTTTATAAAAATTTTGGGTATACAGTTTTATAGATTACTAAATTTTAGTATAGTAAAGTGCA